GCCAGTGGTCCTCCAGGGAAGATGACCTCCACATCTCAGGAAAGGGGCCTGCTCAGTGGGACTGGGTGCCCTGATGTTTGTCACGGCTGCCTCAGCCTTCCCAAAACATCAGTGCAGGTGGAGGTGAGCATACCTAGTATGTCTCACCTGGTCATACCCTACTGCTGGCTTACAGCTTGCAGGCCTGATTGGCAAGGGTCCAATTGCATCAGTGCTTCAAAATGTTCAATATCCTTCCTGCTTCTGGCAGTGGCAAAAACCAGCATTGTTAGTGTTTTTTAAAATTCAGTTAACATCACAATCACATGAAAAATGCGGATTTCCCAAGTCCTATCCATTAAGATCTCATCCAACTCAGTAGACCTGTTGGGGGCATCAGAACTTATGTTTTATAAGCTTTCTGGGTGATTCTGGAGCACCTGAAAGTTTGGGATCCACAGCACACAGGTCATGATACAGTAAGACTCCATTTTCCACTAAGGGGGTTGGGCCTGCTGCAGTGAGGTGAGGTGCTAATATATAATTAATAGGTGTAAGCTCAGGAGGGCAGCTGGCAGACACACCCAGGATCCTCTGAGAAGGCACTATTTACAACAGCTAGGCCATGGAAGCAACCTAGATGCCCATTGACAAATGAATGGATAAAGAGGCTGTGGTACATATATACAATGGAATATTACTCAGCCATAAAAAAAGAATTTGAGTCAGTTCTAGTGAGGTGGATGAATCTAGAGCCTGTTATACAGACTGAAGTAAATCAGAAAGAGAAAAACAAATTTCATATATTAATGCACATATACATTAATACATATGCATAATATATGACACATACTTACACTAAGATGACACTGGGCTTCTCTGGGTCCCAACTTTGTCAAACAACAATGAATTCCTCTGCTCAAGCCACTTATGACTACACTCCTGAACCTCCAGTGTTTCTTATTTATCTGCCTAAATATGCATTTTTTTCAGCTCCCTTCTCTTATAAACCCATCTTTCCACTCAAACCAGATGATGTTCACTCTAAATGTGTATCACAACTGAGGGCCAAATATGGATAAGACCTGAGCAAGAAGGAAAAATTTCCACAAGGGTAAAATGTGCTTCTGTCCACAGAATTACCGGAAGAGCACGGGCTGGTGTTGCTTTTGTGAAGAACAACATGACAGCACTTGGTCCAAAAGAAGTGAGCATATAACCAACTGCCCCCCAAATCCAGCCCCAGATACATGGCAGAGACAAAGATGTGAGGAAAAGACTTCATCAGCACTGTTGGTGGTGATGGGGAGGGGACTGTCCATGACAGTCCATGACAAGGGCACCAAGAAGTGAGATGCCCACACACCTCATGGAAGATGAAATGGCCATCAGAGGCACCCAGTGCTCAGAGAAAGAAACCAACTGAGGTCTGTAACTCAATGCTAGTCCAACTCCTTTTGACCCCATGGACTATACAGACCATGGAATTCTCCAGGCCAGAAAACTGGAGTGGGTAGCCATTCCCTTCTCCAGGGGATCTTCCCAACCCAGGGATTGAACCCAGGTCTCCTGCATTGCAGGCAGATTCTTTACCAGCTGAGCCAGCAGGGAAGCCCTAAGTTAGAAGTTCAGTTCAGTTCAGTCACTCAGTCGTGTCCCACTCTTTGTGACCCCATGGACCACAGCACGCCTCCCTGTCCATCACCAACTCCTGGACTTTACCCAAACTCATGTCTATTGAGTCGGTGATGCCATCCAACCATCTCATCCTCTGTCGTCCCCTTCTCCTCCTGCCCTCAATCTTTCCCAGCATCAGAGTCTTTTCAAATGAATCAGCTCTTCACATCAGGTGGCCAAAGTATGGGAGTTTCAGATTCAGCATCAGTCCTTCCAGTGAACACCCAGGACTGATCTCCTTTAGGATGGATTGGTTGGATCTCCTTGTAGTCCAAGGGACTCTCAAGAGTCTTCTCCAACACCACAGTTCAAAACCATCATTTCTTCAGTGCTCAGCTTTCTTTGTGGTCCATCTGTACATGACTACTGGAAAAACCATAGCCTTGACTAGACGGACCTTTGTTGGCAAAGTAATGTCTCTACTTTTTAATATGATATCTAGGTTGGTCAAAACTTTCCTTCCAAAGAGTCTTTTAATTCCATGACTGCAATCACCATCTGCAGTGATTTTGGAGACCAAAAAAAATAAAGGCAGCCACTGTTTCCAGTTTCCCCGTCTCTTTGCCATGAAATGATGAGACCGAATGCCATGATCTTAGCTTTCTGAATGTTGAGCTTTAGCCAACTTTTTCACTCTCCTCTTTCACTTTCATCAAGAATTTAGTTCTTCTTCACTTTCTGCCATAAGGGTGGTGTCATCTGCATATCTGAGGTTATTGATATTTCTCCCGGCAATCTTGATTCCAGCTTGTGCTTCTTCCAGCCCAGCATTTCTCATGATGTACTCTGCATGTAAGTTAAATAAGCAGGGTGACAATATACAGCCTTGATGTACTCCTTTTCCAATTTGGAATCAGTCTGTTGTTCCATGTCCAGTTCTAACTGTTGCTTCCTGACCTGCATACAGGTTTCTCAAGAGGCAGGTCAGGTGGTCTGGTATTCCCATCTCTTTCAGAATTTTCCACAGTTTATTGTGATCCACACAATCAAAGGCTTTGACATAGTCAATAAAGCAAAAACAGATGTTTTTCTGGAACTCTCTTTTTCGAGATCCAGCAGATGTTGGCAATTTGATCTCTGGTTCCTTTGCCTTTTCTAAAACCAGCTTGAACATCTGAAAGTTCACGGTTCACGTACTGCTGAAGCCTGGCTTGGAGAATTAGAAGTTAGAAGTACAGACACCCAAAGAAATGACAATGAAATGCTGCTGTAGTCCCACATCTGCCGCCATAGTTCAGTACACATCAGGTGCTGATCCTGGATGGAGAGCTTTCAACGTCAAGGCCAAGTTCACATATTGGTATTTTCAGTGTTTGCAGGTCACATGGCTTGATTTCCTGGGTGGTTCCAAGATAATTCTTAGAGCTGGTACCTATCATCAACCTTCGAACCATGGTTCTTCCCAGAAGATGGGAAATGGAAGTCTAGGTCCATAAATATGATTCCAGTTGCCCAGAGCTTCTCATATCAACCCACTTTTGTCTTTAGAGATGGCCTGTTTTCCTGATGTTCATTTATATTTTCAAGTTATTCATGCACTAGAAGTCCTCTCCAAGCTACTCTTCACAATAAACTTACTGATATTTATGTAACATTTGCATTTTCCCCTTCAAAGCTTGGACAAGTCCTGGACATTCTGCCCCAGCAGAAGTCCCATGAATCTTGTTCTGAAAATGACTGGAATCCATGATATTTTGATCATATACTTTTTTCCTTTGACCATGCCAGTTGGCATGTGGGATCTCAGCTCCTCTTCCAGGGATTGAACCCATGCCCTCTGTGGTGGAATCATGGAGTCTCAATCACTGGATGGCCAGGGAGGTCCTTGGCCATATACTTTTGAAAAGCCAACAAATTATGTGTGCCACGGCTGATTTTCCTCTACCTCAAGAAAGTACTGTTTTCCATGAAAAGATGCTCAACATCATTCATTATTAGAGAAATGCAAATCAAAACTGCAATGAGGTATCACGTCACACCTTCAGAAAGGCCATCATCAAAAAATCCACAAGCAATAAATGCTGGAGAAGGTGTGAAGAAAAGGGCACCCTCTTGCACTGGTGGTGGGAATGTAAATTGATACTGCCACTCGAAGAACAGTATGGAAATTATTTTCAAACACTAGGAATAAAACTACATTATGACCCAGAAACCCTGCTATTGGACATACAGGCTGAGAAAGCCATCACTGAAAAAGACATGTACCCCAATATTCATAGGAGCACTATTTACAGTAGCTAGAACATGGAAGCAACCTAGATGTCCATCAACAGATGAGTGGATAAAGAAGTTGTGGTGCATATACACAATGGAATGTTACTCAGCCATAAAAAGGAATGCATTTGAGTCAGTTCCAATGAGACGGATGAACCGAGGGCTTGTATACAGAGTGAAGTAAGTCAGAAGGAGAAAAACACAATTGGTATATTAAAGCATATATATGGAATCTAGAAAATTGGTACTGATGAACCTATTTGCAGGACAGGAGTAGAAATGAAGATTTACAGAACAGACTGTGGACACAGTGGGGGAAGGAGGGGGTGGGATGTCCTGAGAGAGTAGCAGTGACGCACATACACTACATGTGTAAAGCAGACAGCCAGTGGGGAGCTGCCCTATAGCACTGGGAGCTCAGCCTGGCGCTCTGTGATGACCGTGAGGGGTGGGATGGCGTGAGGGGCAGCAGGGAGGCTCAGGAGGCCAGGGACATGTGTGTACTTGTGGCTGATTCCTGTTGTTGTGTGGAAGAAGCCAACACAATATTGTAAAGCAATTATCCTCCAATCAAAAAAAAAAGTACTGTTTTCAAGGTTAGCACAGAGAAAAAAAGAAGCCTTTCATGCCTCCTTCTCATCTAAATGGTTTCTCCTGCAGCCTGTCTACTCCAAGCCCCAACGCAGTCACAAAGGACACCTGAGAAATCTCCTCAGCGTTACAGATCACCCAGAACCTCACCATCAAACTTCAGCCTCAGAGCAAAGCAGTCCAAATAAGGAATATCTCCCCGCAGTATCTCCCCTGGCCCCTCCCCAACCCACAGAAGGCTTCTTGCCCCAGCTCTGGGATAAAAGTGCATACGTCAGTCAGTTCAGCCTGTCCTCTAGCTGTGTGACCTTGGGCAAGTTCCTTCACCTCTCTATGCGTCCATTTCCCTTTAGGTAAAACAAGACGAAATCGTTGAGAGGGTCTGGCAAGGGATTCTGGAGATAGAGGCCAGCCCAGGCCAGGCATGGAGTGAGTCATCAGACAGGCTGGCTGCAGCTCTGCGTTGAGAAATCAGGGAGAAAGCGTCCCCTGGAATGACCCCTCCCATCCAGCAGGCCCCTGGGAAGGAGGGACCGTACCTTTACAGCGGGGCTGCTCCGCCGTCCAGGTGCCGTTGGGAAGACACACCACACTGCTGGGCCCAACCAGCCGGAAACCGGGATTGCAAGTAAAGTGGACTTCGTGATCCACTAAGTACTTGCTTCCAAACTTTTGGCCATCCAGAGGGGTGTTCAGAGCAGGACAGGAAACTGTAAGGAAGAAAGGAAGGCCCACAAGCATTTAGACATCATTCTGGATTACGATCCATAAAGAAGGCTGAGTGCAGAAGAATTGATGCTTTTGAATTATGGTGCTAGAGAAGACTCTTGAGAGTCCTTGGCCAGCAATGAGATCAAACCAGTCAGTCCTAAAGGAAATCGATCCTGAATATTCACTGATGCTGAAGCTGAAGCTCCAGGCCTTTGGCCATTTGATGCAAAGAGCCGACTCATTGTAAAAGACCCTGATGCTGGGAAAGATTGAGGGCAGGAGGACAAGGGGGCAACAGGGGGTGAGATGGTTGGATGGCATCACCAACTCAATGGATATGAATTTGAGCAAACTTCAGCAGATGGTGAAGGACAGGGAAGCCTGGCGTGCTGCAGTCCACGGGGTCGCGACAAGTCGGACACGAATGAGCGACCGAAGAGCAATGATGGATTACAGTGGGCTTCCCCAGCGGCTCAGCAGAAAGGATCTGCCTGCCGACGCAGGAGGTGCGGGTTTGATCCTGGGTTGGGAAGATCCCCTGAAGAGGGAGATGGCAACACACTCTAGTATTCTTGCCTGGGAAATCCCACAGACAGAGGAGCCTGGTGGGCTACAGACATGGGGTCACGAAAGAATCAGACATGACTTAGACACTAAATAACAACAAACTGGATCACAAAGCTTCTCACCCTCAGTACCCTCAGGCTGAGCGCCTGCTGCCAGCGGTGCACTGGGCTCCACATCTTATTTTGTATTAAATTTTTTGGCTGCACCACAAAGCTTGCAGGGTCTCAGTTCCCTGATAAAAGATCTAACTCAAGCCCTCGGCAGTGACAGTTGGAGGCCTAGCCACTAGACTGGCAGGGAAGCCCTTGGACTGCACATTCAAACTACTACGTGTCACTGAATCCTCAGAGCACTCTTGGGCACAGGTAATGCATGCCCACGTGGTGATGGATGAGGAGATCGTGGCTCAGACACGTGTCGTGGGCAGGACCTGGCAACGTGGGAGGGTGGGAGCTGGGACCCCTGCAGGGCCCACCCACTTTTCTGCTCTCAGAGCCCCAGCTTCCCCAGAGTGTCCTTGGTTCTCTCGGACAGACCATACCCAGCCCCGTCTCCAGGCCCCGGTTTTTGCCCTTCTCCCTGCCTAGAATGTTCTCTCCCCCAGGACTGCCCATCTCAGGTGGCTTCTCACTATCTAGGTCTTGACTTGAACGCTCACTGCCTTCCAGGCTGTTCTCTGACCACCGTGTTCCACTGAGATCCCTCCCCCCCGTGAGCTCATTTGGCTTTCTTCTATTGTTTGTAACTGTTGGCATTATCTTATCGGCGTGTTTGTTTGCACATTTGATGTCAGTCTACCCCTCAGAAGTCCCAGGGGGGCAGAGACCTCTGTATCCCCGTCACCAGCCTGTAGTGAAAGCCTGGTAAATAATTCTTGACCAAATGAATGAATGAAAAATTGTGTATTGTATTCTTACTGTCTGCCAGGCACCCGATTAGGAGTTTGAGACAATTAGTGAACAAACAGATGAAACTCAGCTCTCAGGAAGCCTCCTTCCATCAGGGAAGACACTCGACAAGCAAGATCCACAAGCAAATGGCAGAGTGTGACAGGAGGTGACAAGAGCCATGTAGACAATGAAGAAGGGAGTAGCACTGGGAAGCCAGAGGAGGGGTGTATTGGGGGTACAGTGGTCAGGTGGGGCCTCCTCGGGACAAAGCGCTGAACGAAGAGGCCAAAGGTGTGACCATGCAGGTATCCGGGGAGGACAGAGGGACCAAGTCGGTGCAAAGGCCCTGAGCTAGGCCTGTGCCTGGCAAGTCTGAGGAATGTCCAGGAGAGCACCAAGACCGCAGTGGGGTGGACCAGCTGGACAGCAGCTGGGCATGAAGACAGAGAGCAATTGGTAGTGAGAGACAGCGGCAACATGTGGCCTCTCAGAGGAAAGAAGAGGCCGCGCAACTTGCTATTGGTGTGCAGTGGGGCCACTGGACAGTCTGAGGAAAGGCTGGAAGTGTGACCCCCTTGTGAAGAGCGTCACTCTGTTTGAGGCTTGAGTGCACTGTCCAACGTGAGAGAGGATGAAAGGGAGGCAGAGCCGGGGGCAGGATGAAGGTGGCTCAGCTCAGGGTGAGAGTGGGGAGCTAAGAAAGCAGGCAGAACCAACCAGATTTCCTGAAGGGCCATCATGGGCTGGAGAGGAGAGACGGTCCCCGTTCTTCCCCAACCTGCAGCCAAGCTCCACTCGTGGTCCATGCTGGTCTAAAGGAAGGCTGCCCCAAGTTGGACCAGCTTGGGTTTGGATTTGTCTTAGCTAGAAATTCAGAGTCACTTCTAACTCATTTTTAAGGTAAGATCCAAACGTCATTTGTAAAAATACTTCCAGGGTTTTAGACAGATGAAAACTAAGCTGTTGCTTTGGCCATGTGGGCTGTAGGTTGTGATGGAGAATGGCTCAGCACCTACTCGGAGGGCGGCATCTGCCCAGTCCTCGCTCCAGGGGCGGGACAGCAGCCACGTGCATCTCTGCCCCATGTCCCCACCCCCGTGTCCTGGGAGAAGAGTGGGAGCCGGTTCCCTCCCTGAGGACTCAGTGCCCTTTGGGTTCTGGGGAACGTTGGACAATTGACACGTCACCTTCTGTTAGTGAACTTCCAAGTGAGCACCCACGGTAATGACCTTGTGAGCAGAAAGCCAAGCGAACCCACATCCCAACACTTGGGCACCCCCAGCTCGCTGCCTCAGTCCCTGCAAATACATGACTTTATATCTCTCTTTGAAAAATCTCCTACTGCATTGTGCTGAAAAGGATTTAAAATGCTTTGGGAGAAAGGAGTAGGGTCTTGTCTCTAAGGGGAAGATACATCTTTAAAACCCTCAAAGAAAGAAAATTAACCCACTGGAGCAACTCACAGGCATATGGTATGAGAATGGATGGAATCATATCTCCACACGGCTCCATGATGCAGGGATCAAACCTGGTTCTCCTGAAGGCAGATTCTTTGCCATCTGACCTAGCTGAGCAGGCCCCCCCATTCATGTCAGCAGACTTGGTGAACGGATGTGTGTGCATGCATACAAAGTTGCTTCAGTCATGTCCAACTCTTTGTGACCCCATGGCCTATAGCACCGCATGTCCCTCTGTCCATGGGAATCTTTAGGCAAGAATACTACAGTGGGTTGCTGTACCCTCCTCCAGGGGGTTTTCCCAACCCTGGGATCAAATCCATGTCTCTTGTGCCTCCTGCATTGACAGGTGGGTTCTTTACCAAGAGTGCCACCTGGGAAGTCCCAGTGAATGGATACAGATTCAATAAAATCAATTTTCAGGCATTTCCCAAACGGTAGCCAAAGGATTCTGTTGGGTGGGAAGACATGCCCCTTGGCTGGTTCATTTCATCATGGTCATCTCTTGGTGAGCCTACAGGGCTGCGAGGAAGCTGCCCACACCATCCCGGTGGATGTAACATGTAGGCAAGAGCTCAGCAGGGGATCAGTCCTGGCGATTTGGGAACGTTATTGGCATGAGGCTGCGGAGATAAGTCCTAAAGCTGATGGACTGTGAAGTTTTCAGGAAAGAAGGCTGGGAAAATAGGAGGGAGATAGAAACAAGCCAGAAAGAAGGCCAAGAATTCTCCGGGACTGGAAATTATTCTTCCCAACTCCCAGGCAAATGCCCTTTTTAAAAAAAGAAAAGATAATTTTCCCTCTACCTGCAGTTTGAGCTGGGGCAAGCTTCTGGCTTCCCCTAGGCACCTTTCCCCTGCAAGGTGGTCCTGACAGCTGCCTGCCCCCGTGTCCAACACACGAGGGAGACAAAATGCATGGCAGCATGTCTTTAAAAAGAGATTTGGCCACTTTTTTTTTTTAAGGCATGTCCTGTGGGATCCTGGTTCCCTGATCCCAAACCCATGACCGTAGTGCAGTGTCTTAACCACTAGACCACCAGGAATGTCCCAAGAATTGGGCACTTTAAAAAGGTCTCGCATGGCTCAGGAAAGAAAGACCTTGAGCCCAGCAGCAAGAGGATTAGTAATTTAACCATAGCTACGTTTCTTTTTAAAATATATATAAAAAAATAAATAAATAAAATAACAATAAATAAATAAATAATATATATATATATGTATGTATGTATGTATTTGGCTGTGCTGGGTCTTAGTTGCAGTACATAGGATCTTCAATCTTGGCTATGGCCTGAAGGATCTTTTTTTCAGTTGTGGGATCCAGTTCCCTGACCAGGGATCAACCCCTGGTCCCCTGCATTGGAAACACAGTCTTAGTCACTGGACTACCAGGGGAAACCCCTACCTTTTTTTTTCCGTATTCATGGACAGGGACCTCAAAGATGGGCAGGGCAGTTGTAGAAATTCCCTTCTGCAGCTTTTTCTTGGAAACTCCCAGAAACGTGCAGGCACTCTGACCCCACGAAAACAGGAAGGACCAGTGCGGTTGAGCGTCCAGCAGTGAACAAAACCCCCAGAACAGAACCCACTATCACTAACTCATGTCTCTTGGCCTCAGTTTCCACATCTGCAGCTGAAAGGAAGGATGCCACGCCTCTCCCTCGGAGTCCGGCTGGTGACAAGCCCCAGCGAAGGCTGCGGCCTCTAGGCACCTGGGAAAGTGTGAGGCGTTTGACCACCAGGTCTAGCTCTGCACCCGTGGAGCCAAAGAAAACAGGACTTGACTCAGGGCTGTGGAGACTCTAGATTTGCTACCAGAGTCTACAAAGGTAGAAAATCCAACCCAGGAAATTCATCTCACACCACCAAGGAGGCCCTTGAGAAAAGCATCTTAAGTGAGTAAAGACATCAGATATTCCTCAGGCTGATGATTTAAACAAATATATGGCAACCCGCTGCCCCACCCGACCCCCATCACCCTGCGTGCATGCGAGCAAAAGTGTCAGTCCATTGATCATGTCTGACTCTTTGCGACCCCATGTTTTGCGAGCCCAAGTATTACAGCCCACCAGGCTCCTCTGTCCATGGAGTTTTCCAGACAAGAATACTGGAGAGGGTTGTCATGCCCTCCTCCAGAGGATCTTCCCAACCCAGGGATCGAACCAGGTCTCCCGAATTGCAGGCAGATTCTTTACTGCCTGAGCTACCAGGGAAGGCAAGAATATTGGAGCGGGTAGCCATGCCCTTCTCCAGGGGAATCTTCCCAACCCAGGGACTGTACCCAGGTCTCCCGAATTGCAGGCAGATTCTTTACTGCCTGAGCCACCAGAGTTGTCATGACTTAAACAAACATACAACAGGTTCCCTGACCCCTGTCACCCCGAGGAGAGGCCAGAAGAAATGCAGCCACCCATGCCAGACCTTGACAGTGCGCAATCCATTACGGGGACAACCAGGAAGAGGCCCAGTGTCCGCAGAGTCCTACCCCAGGGGAAGGGGTCTGGGGGCAGCGGGGGGGGCAGCAGAGACACATGCAAACTGCCTCAGCTGCCCCTCCATCCAACCCACCGCACCAACGGGGGCTCGTGGAAAAGGACTAATGTTCACGCCTGGAAAGCAGAGGCCAGTGCTGGTCCGTGGGCTGCTCCCGGCGGGCCACAGGAGTGCGAGATATTAATGGTGGGGAAGCCGTGAGTGTTCGGGGAGAGTGCCCACGGGACCCCTCTTCACTTTTCATTCAGTTTTGCCGTGAAATGACAACTGCTCTCAAAAAGCCTATTAAACGACAAAACAAGAAAAATGAACCAACTAGGGTCTCTCCTGGGGATGCAGGCTCTGAAAGTTGTGCCTTTCAGCCATTCTCTGGAGAAGCTATGCAGACGTGAGGGTTGCTGAGTCTGGAGTGGAAAGGTCTAAGAGGAAATGGGGTAACACTCAGATGATGGGGGAGGCTATGCTACATGCTTGTTGAGTGACGAAGTCGAGTCTGACTCTGCGACCCGCCAGGCTCCTCTGTCCATGGGGTTCTCCGGGCAAGAACACTGGAGTGGGTTGCAGTGTCCCCCTCCTTCAGGGGATCTTTCCGACCTAGAGATCAAACCCGAGTCTCTTACATTTGCTGCATTGGCAGGCGGGCTCTTTACCAGTGGTGTCACCTGGGAAGCCCCCGATGGTAGGGCAGGAAGCTGGCAAATGCCTTCCTGCCACCCAGCCCCAGACAGAAGGCGAGGCTGGGGAAGGCTCGGGAATCAATCCAGCCATGGGAGATAGGGGCAGGGAGAGGACCCCCCCGGGCTCGGGGTGCTGACCTGGGGACCCACCTGGGGGCGTATCTGGGCCCGCCTTGCTCACAGAGCTCTGCAGGGCCGCCAGCCGGCTCTTCATGTGACGGACGCCCTCGGCGAAGCGTGTCTCCTGGCCTTTCAGCAACTGCTGCAGGTGGCGGATAGCCGTGAGGAACTGCTGTTTGTTGAGACAGTTCTGGGGAGAGGAAAAAATACTCATCACCACCACTAGCACAGGGGGCCAGCAGTCATCGGGACCCTGGGCTCCGACACCCTGGGGTCCACTGAGTACAGTGCAGAAGTGGCCCGGCTGGTGTCCCGACAACACATCGGGTGAGGTCCCCAGAAAGCACGCCCCAGCCCCTCCCTCAGTGAAAACAAAGCTCCGATTTTCAGAGTGCAGGGCAGAAGTGACGACTCTAAGTGACTGGGTGGTAGAATTATCTGAACACAATGTGCCTTATATGAGTGGTCTTACTTCAAAGACTGCCCCCCACTGCCCCCAATAACTCTTCACTCCAAGTTAATGCTCTGAAATCTGGGCCTCGAGGAACTTTTTATTTCTTTATCCTTTGGCTTTTTTATTCTACCTTGGACATTTTTAAGCAGATGGATGATATAACATAAAACAGGCAAACAGGGAAGCCCAGTGGTTCCCATACTTTTAAAAATGTAACAGGGCACAGGACTTCCCTGGTTAAGAATCTACCATGCAATTCAGGGAATGCAGGTTCTATCCCTGGTTGGGGAACTAAGATCCCACATGCCTTGGTGCAACTAAGCCCCCGAGCAACAACAAAAGATTCCACATGACTCAAGGAAACCCCATGGGCCACAGCTAAACACCTGACACAGCCATATAAATAATTAAGTATTTTAAAAAACAAAATAGGGCAAGTTCAGTTCAGTTCAGTCACTCAGTTGTGTCCAACTCTTCGATCCCATAGAATGCAGCACACCAGTCTTCCCTGTCCATCCCAAAACTTGCTCAAACTCAGGTCCATTGAGTTGGTGATGCCATCCAATCATCTCATCCTCTGTCGTTCCCTTCTCCTCCTGCTTTCGATCTTTCCTAGCATTGGAAAATGTTGGAGAAGGGAATGGCACACCACTTCAGTATTGTTGCCTTGAGAATCTCATGAACAGTATGAAAAGGCAACAGGGCAAGTAAGAAGAATTAAAGAAGCGTTCAGTTAAAGTTAATGCTGAGTTCTAACACTTTTTGAAAAGCTCAAAAAACAGAAGGAGGCATGTGCTTATCACGATAGAGACTAACTTTAAGCAACACTTGGTATCATGCCTAGTGATAAAAATCTCAAGGTTTCTGATCCTAATGGGGGCTTCCCAGGTGGCGCTAAGTGGTAAAGAACCCGCCTGCCAATGCAGGAGATGTAAGAGACGTGGGTTCGATCCCTGGGTTGGGTAGATTCCCTGGAGGAGGAAACAGAGACCCACTCTAGTATTCTTGCCTGGGAGATCCCATGGACAGAGGAGCCTGGCAGGCTACAGTCTGTGGGGTTGCAAAGAGCTGGACACGACTGAAGTGACTGAGCGTGCACTGATCCTAGTTGCCCTTAAGAGCCAGGACGTGAGCAGGAGGAAGGGAGAGGGGAGGACTTCCCTAGCGGTCCCATGGTAAAGACTGTGCTTCCAACACAGAGGGCATCGGTTCAATCGTTGATCGGGGAACTAAGGTCCCCCATGCCAAGGCGAGGAGGGTGCAAAAAAATTAACAAATAAGGACATTGCCTCACTGGGGGAAAAAAAGAAAGAAAGGAGAGATGAGTACAGGGGGCAGAGATAGGCCAGGCCCTGGTTCATGTGTCGCACATCATCTCAGCACAGCCTAGTCCAACCTGGCTCACAAGACCCGCACGGAGCAAAGGAGAGCGGGGTGATGGCAACCTCTGGGGAGAGGCTTGCGGATCTGCTTTTATTTTTTATACTTGTTTTTTTTTTCCCTACAATGATTATTAGCTTTACAATTAGAAAAAAGATGTTTCAAAGGCGGCCAGCAGCCGGCAGCTGGGAGGCACATGGCCACTGCAGCCTGGGTGGCTTCCAGGATCGTCAGTGGAGCGCTGCCCCTGCAGGGGAGATGGAGCCGCAGGCTCTCTCCCGGGGCGGGTGCCAGGCCCCTGCACCTTGGAGATCTCACCAAACACATGGCTCACTGCTCCGGGCCAATGGATGCTTTTGACAAAGCTGAATCCCCAGTTGCCCCTGGAGCTCGTTAATCCATGGGGGCTCCTTGGCCTCCACCCTAAAACCAGGGCCTGACTGGGCCTGGCCCCAAACACAACCATTGGGAAGTGAACTGTTGTTTGCTTCCCTTCTCCCTCCCTCCTGTGGTCCTTCCCACACAGGCCCTGGGCACCTGGGCAGTGACCTCCTGCAGTCCCTGACCTACCCAGCATGGTGCAGCCATCCACCCAGATCGGACTTCCCACACCCACCTCCCTTCCCTTTAAAAATACATAATAATAATAAGGAGCTGCTTTCAGAGATGCTGCTCCATATCATGTGTGATTCACACTTGGGAAGTTCCTCATAGTGTACCATGCTATATGCTACTCCTAAGAAGACAGAGGAGTCTGGCGGGCTACAGTCCATAGGGTTGAAAAGAATTTGACAAGACTGAAGCGACCCAGCACATAAAAGGACTCCTGGCTGGCAGCAGCCCTGTGAAGAAAGCCTGGGACTGTCTCTATTTTACAGTCAAGACATAGAGGCTGGAAGTCAAGCGACTTGTCGCGAACCATGTGGCCTGTGAGCGGCAGCACCAGGCTGGGGACCTGCTGACCCCAATCCATTGCCCCCCAACAAGTCGTGCCCCCACGGCTGCCTTATGCCCCAGTGTGCTCAGTCGCTCAGTCGTGTCTGACTCTTTGCAACCCCATGGACTGTAGCCTGCCAGGCTTCTCTATCCATGAGACTCTCCAGGCCAGAACACTGGAGTGGGTTGCCATTTCCTCTTCCAGGGGATCTTCCTGACCTAGGGATCGAGCTCAAGCCTCCTGCATTGAAGGCAGATTCTTTATCACTGTTTCACAAACGCCTCTGTGTGGTAAATGTTCTTGATTAGTCTGCACGAGGGACTGATCACTCTGTGACCCAAGCTAAATATCGCACAGGAGTGGATTTCTAACTCCTGTGTGGATTCCAGGTTGCAAGCATGGGCAGTGGAGACAGGAAGTGGGGTGGGTGGAGTGGAAGAGAGCCAGGCCAGCAGCTGCCTCCAGGGCGTGGCAGCTGGGGAAGGGCAGTTCCAGGGGACAGGGAAAAGCTAAGTTCTGAAGTAGGAGACGCCAGATCAATGCCAAGGCTTCTGACGGGAAGCTGACATGGAGGACGTGGGACTCCAGTCAGTACAGAAGGAAGGACAGTGGGAGTGGAGATAAAGGGGCCTCTGGGAAGCCAAGTAAGTTGAATGTCAGTGCTCCCAGGTCCAGTCACGCTGTGCTCTGCTTGTGGTGGCACTGCCCTGGACTGGAACCCTTCCCACCTATGCTCCTTGAGCGGCAGGTACCACCGGCTTTGCCTCGAGGCGCTCACCGCAGGTGAGGTGAGCTTCCCAGGGGGTACAAGTGTAAAGGACCTGCCTGCCAATGCAGGAGATGCAAGAGACAGGGGTTCAATGGCTTCATCCTTGGGTTGGGAAGATCCCCTGGGGGAGAGCACAGCAACCCACTCCAGTATTCTTGCCTGGAGAGTCCCATGGACAGAGGAGCCTCTGTGCTACAGCCCATGGGGTCGCAAAGAGTCAGACAGGACTGAGTGACTTAGCATGCATGTGCTCATCTCTCCAGTCATGATGGGAAAACCTCACAGATCAAGTACACTGAAGCCACGCAAAGGTGGAGATGCAGGAGGAAGGGTAGTGGGCAGGCTTGATGAGGGAAAGTCAGAAAACCTTAGTCATCCCTGCCTGCAGCCTCACTGGGGTGATGCTAACAGAATTAAGTGTTAAAGATCCTGTGAGCCCAGAAATAAACCCATGCATATATGGTCAATTAACTTATGACCCAAACCATGTGGCCTATGAGTGGCAAGGAGCCAAGAGTATATAACGGCAAAAGCATAGTCTCTTCAATAAATGGTGCTGGTGAGGAATGGAATATTTCCTGCCATATTAAACAAGGATGTCACAGTCATCAGTGATTGCAGGCCTCCAATGTGACCCTGTGAGCCCCAAGGGCACTCAGGAAGAAGAATACGTGAGATCTAGCAACCATCAGACTATAGCCACTCCCTACGGTGAACCCCAAGGAAGCTTAGGAAGTAAAAAAAAAGTGATACCTGCCCCAGGTAGCTGAGGTGCATATGAAAGGAATGATTTCAGTGAGCCCAGACTCTTGCATCTTCCCATACACAGAAAGCACTAAATTCCTTAACTTGGGATATCTGGTTTTCTTTAACGATAATCTTTTGATGTTTAGACCACATGCTCTTTGTTGCAAAACTTCTATATAGCCTGGTTCCTCCCCTCGCCTCCTCAGAGTCGTTCTCTCCAGGTTGCGTGAGATATTGCCTCCCAGGCTTGAAGTCCTAAGAATTCCCACCAAATAAAACGTAACTCTCGCGTTTTTGGTTATTAGTATTTTTTAAGTTGACGCTGGGAAAAACTGGGCAGTAACATGCAAAAGGATGAAACTAGACCGCTGCCTTACATCCTCCACAAAATTCACTCAAATTATATTGAAAATTTAAACATAAGACCTGAACCCATAAAACTCCTAGAAGAAAACATGGGCAGTAAGCTCTTTGACGGCAGTCTTGACAATGACTGCTTTTTGGATTTGACACCAAAAGTAAAGGCAATGAAAGCAAACATAAACAAGTGAAGCTAAACAAACCGGAAGCTTCTGCACACCAAAGGGGACCAGCGGCAAAATGAAAAGGCAACCTGCAGAACGGGGTGGGGGGGAGTACCTGCAAGTCATTTGCAAGATACCTGGGAAGGGGTCAGTGTCCAAAACACATAAAGAACTCATATAATTCAAGAGCAAAAAACAAGAAAAAAACAAAATACTTTGGCTACCTGATGCAAAGAACTGACTCCTTAGAAAAGACCCTGATGCTGGGAAAGATTGAAGGAAGGAAGAGAAGAGGGCAACAGAGAATGAGATGGTTGGATGGCATCACCGACTCAATGGACATGAGTTTGAGCAAGCTCCAAATCAAGTTGATGAAGGA